TTCTGAGGCTGTAAATCTTTACGGGAGCAGAAAGCCTCATCTTTCTCCCGCGGAGCAGCTGGTAGTTTCAAACTGCTGACCTTGCGGTTCACAACCCAATTCGTAACCATAACACTACCAGAGCTCCTTATGGCCTGAGCATGGTGTTTTTAAAAGCATTCTAGGTAGCTCAATGAGCCCTGGTAGCATAGTGGATTACGAGCTGAACTGTTAACTGCAAGGTCAGTTGCCTCATGAAAGAAAGATGAGACTTTCTGCTCCCATAAAGATTTATAGCCTGTGAAACCCTATACAGAATCACTATTAGTCAGAATCAACTTACCGGCACACCATCAACACCACCACCACCTGGTGACTCAAATGTACATCCCAGGCTCAGAACCCACGGGAGCTATGGAAAAGACCCTAGATTTTGTGGAGTTCATTAACTTATTCTAATAGTGTACATATTGTTGTTGTTAAGTGTCATCGAGTCGGTGCTTACTCATAGAGACTTTGTATAGGGTTTCCCAGGAGCAGCTGGTGATTTGAACCACCATATTTAATTATTTTAAAAAGTTCCTCACATTCTTACAGGAATCCATAACCCTTAAATGGAAGTTACTTTGCTCCATGGGAATATTTTGTGGGATATTAGCAATGAGTTTTTTGTTTTTTCATAAGCGGGCCTATGGAAATTGAACAACTTATAGGAGACAAATGTTTTGCTTCTGTCCCTGGTTCTCATCAGTCTGCAGAAGCAGTGACTAGATGCCTTCCCTGCCCATATTCCACAGCACTGATTGTTTCTCTCCACACTGGCCTGGTTTTTAACTGTCAGAGCCTTCAATGTTTTGTGTGAGGTCAGGCTCCAGTCATTGGAGACTGCTTGCATTCACATGAAAGACAGGCCAGAAGTACTAGAAAGTTATCCTCTCCCTCCTACCCAAGCTCCCTCTCTCCTTAGGTGAGAAAAGGCTGAGCACAGGTTCTCCACTCCCTCCCAAAGTGGCCCAGCAGGGAAAGCCTCCATTGGCCCACAGTAATAGTTGCTTGGTAGCAGACCCTTCCCTTTTTTTCATTTCTTCATTCCTCTGCTGTTTTTTGCTAGGGTTGCCTCCCAAATAAACTCCTGGCATTTTAAACCCTGTCTCAGTGGCTGCTCTTAACAGTAGTCCAACTAAGAAAACCCATGATTGACTGATTGGTTTCACCAAGGCCCTGTGTTTATTATCTTAGTAGGGCCCAGGTACTGTTTTGTGGAAAGCATTCTTGAGTTGACTCACACATATTACATGATTCGCACATATTACATATTACATCAAAGGTGTTGTAAGAAGCAAAGCTAATGTAAGTGGAAGTACAATCAGCTCCCCAAACTAAGGAGCTTTTCATTTTTGGTGGGGAGGGTCACAGGACACAAATGCGAACAAACACCTAAAGTCAAAGATGGCCTATAACATGTTGAACATTTGTTGGGATCTCCAGGTTCCAGGGAGGTAGGTAGTCGATAAAGAATCAGTTATAACAGGCTGCCAGAATTCTGGCAAAATGTCGTTTTTGAAGGAAGATAGGCATGGGAATGTAATGAAAGGGACCTGATGGTGCAGTGGATTAGCTGAAGGGTTAATGATTCAAACCCACCAGCTGCTCCACAGGAGAAACATAAAGCAGTCTGCTTCTGTAAAGATTAACAGCCCCAACCCTAAGGAGCAGTTCTGTGCTATCCTAAAGGGTCTCTATGAATTTAAAATCAACACAAGGGCATTGGATTATATAATGAGGAGCATACAAATTCATTTGGACAATGAACTGGGGGAGGGGGAAATGGGTGTAAGTGGGCATTTAGATGGATGAAGACATGAGAGATGGGGAGTAGATGACTAGCTTTAAGACAGTTCTTTGTCTCAGATAATAAAGAAAAGCAAGGGACACCTCCTTTGCAGATGTAAATCCAAGTGAATAAAGCCATGGTAGTATTTAGATTTCATTGCGTATCACTGCCTTCTTTAATACCCACAAAGCCTCAGTCCCAAGTGTTGAGCTTGGACCAGCTGACTAAGCTCACAGGCATGCTATACTGGACAAACCAATACTTAGCGACATGGGACGAGTCTCTCAGCTTCTGCCTAGGAGAATCACTTCCGACCTCAGTGATCATGATTATCCCTTAGACGTCATCAAGCACTTACTTTAAGGCCTGATTTTGAGCAGTAAATCCTCCCAAAACACACTACTCCACATCTGACCCAATGATATATCTCTTTACCTCTGGAGGTTGCTTGCATTTCAAGTTTGCAGCCTTAGTCTCAGGCGGAGTTTTGGGAATGAAAATTTAAAGAACTGTTCTGAGTGCCATCTAGTGGATGTTGGATTGTATGAAGCAGGCCCGCTTGCTCATTCTGGCCTGGGAATGAACATGAAGAAACACAACTTGTCATTAACTCTTTCTGTTCTTCTCCAGCTTGAACCAGGCAGACCCTTGCCATCCCCCAATGACCTGAAAAGAAAAATACTTATCAAAAATAAACGGCTGAAACCTGAAGTGGAAAAAAGTAAGGCAAATACATACAGGCATGGCGGAAGGACCTATGTGTGATGTGTCTGGACAGTTCCGTTTTCTGGAACGAAATCACTGAGTTTTAAGGGGGGTAGCAATGTAGTTATGGTGCTATATGTGCTTTTCTTTATAAAACAAGGCTACCACATTCTCAGTTAAATTTACTTTCCACAGCAGCTCGTTTCTGCGCTGAGAAAACCACATTTATATGCCAGAGTTTATAAGGGTCGCAAGGAAAAATTGAGAAGAATATGGAAAAGGCATTTCAGAATTTATCAAGATGGAATTCACATCTTATAATTTTATATATTCAAAAGTTCTCTTAGAAATTTTCTTTTTGCAGTTTGCCCATGTAATATATGCATATCTGGTTGTTGTTGTTAAGTGTCATCGTCTCAGTTCCGACTCATAGTGAACCTGTATAGGGTTCCGGAGCAACTGGTGAATTTAACTCACCAGTCCTAACTAAATATATGCATTTGTGAGTGTGTGTATGTGTCTGAAGAGAGAGAGAAAATATGTGTTTATTTTCTCTGAGCCTATTTATTTCAATGGATTAGCGGTGTCAAATATTGTTTGTACTGTGTTTTCTCCAGGTATCCTAAAATAAAATGTAAAAGTTATATGGGAAAACTGTTTCTTTTTTTTACGAGAAGTGATGTTATTGGAAAGCTTCAAAGAAGGAAAAAATATAAGAAAATAATAATAAAATAGTTCCAAATTTTATGCATACAGACACACGTTTGCCCATATATACAAGGAACATGGATTTTAAAAGTCCATATTTTCCTTATACACACATCTTTTTAACAAGTTGTTGTTGTTGTTTGGTGCCATTGAGTTGGTTCTGACTAATAGAGACTCTGTGTACAACAGAATGAAACATTGCCCAATCCTGCGCCAACCTCACAATCGTTGCCATGATTGAGTCCATTGATGCTGCCACTTTGCCAATCCATCTCACTGGGGGTCTTCCTCTTTTTCTGTGATCCTCCACCCTACCAGACATGATATCCTTCTCCAGCAACTGGTCCCTCTTGACAACATGTCCCAAGAATGAGAAACAAAGTTTGGTTTGAGATCATGTTGAATTTTTTTCAGCCAATTAAGTATACTTGCATCCAGTAATTTATAATTCTACATAATAACTTAAATTCCATTGTGTGGAAACACTACATCCAACCCATTGCATAGAATAGAGTATAATTAACCAGTCTCAAGTGGATGGATTTTTGCTATTATAAAAACAACTATGGTAAGAATACTTGGTATTCATTTTGTATATTTAAAAATTTTTTTCCTCAGAATCATTTGGGACAATTACAATGGTTTAGCTAAAGCATTGGGTGGTACAATGGCTAAATGCTTCCTTGCTAATCTACCAATCACTCCTCAGAAGAAAAAACATAGCAGTTCGTTCATGTAAAAGATTGCAACCTAAGAAGCTGGTATAGCTCTATTCTATCACATAATTTTGCTAAGATTCAACATTGACTCATTAACACACAACAGCAGCCTAAGCATATGTACCTATTCTGATGTATCTTGTTATACATTCTCTCAGAAGAGGACCAATTAGCACTCTCAACAATAGTATACTAGAGTGCCTGCTTAAAAGCAAAACCCTTAATCTTGACTGACCATGTCTCTCTCTCTTTTTTTTTTTGTGGATCTTTAATGACTCTTCTCTTATAGGTTATCATTTGTGATTTGGCCTTACATGCCTACTCATATTTCTTTCATCTGTCTTTCCTTTTACTTATTTGAAAGAAAGTTTTTATGTATTATGGAAAATAACCCTGGTCATAGCCATTGCAGACATTTTTTTTCCTTACATTTTATTAGTCTCCACTGTGTATGCCTCTATTATATTTTCATTGCAATTGTTTATAAACCATTGCCATCCTCCAATTTTCCAAGTTATGGGCCTTGTTATCCAGCGTTTAGGTCCTTCACAATGATTGGGTTCCCCTCTCAGATCTGGTGAACAGAATTTTAGGCAAGCTACTCACATACTAGTTCTTTATCATGTGTGCATGCTGTGTGATTGTGGCATATACCTAAGAATCTGAGACCATTAGAATGGTTGGCAAAATGACTACTGCTGATCCTTAAGAATAAGGCAAATAGGTGCCTAAACTATGCATTTCCTTCCCAGTGTCCAGCTGTTATAAGTGATCTAATACTTGTCACTGACGCCTTCTTCTTGTTGGCTTTCCACAACAGAACAGCTGGAAGCTTTGAAAAGCATGATGGAAGCTGGAGAAACTGCTGCCCCAGTTAGCATCTTAGAGGATGATAATGAAGAAGAGATAGAAAATGGTGAGCTGTTTTCTTTTAAGTTGCATGTCTCTAAGATACTTTTGAAATTAAGAAAAGCATGAGTTTTTCTCAGTGACTCCTAATAGAGGTAGTCCCCAACTTACAAAGGAATTTGATTCAATGATTCTGTGTTAAAGTCAGTTGTAATCGAAGTCAAATAGCTCTTTATTGGTTTAATACATCGAACCTTGGAACATCTGAGCATGATAACCTCAGCTAATTATGTGCTATAAGATTATTTGTAGTCCGTGTTACTAATGATAAGCTATATCAAAAAACACAACAACCCACAAACCAGATCAGATGGTCCTAAGTGTAATTTGTCCTAACTCCAATATATCCTAAGTTGGGAACTGTCTGTATATAATGATTTTATTCTTCTTGTTGTTAAGTGCTTTCAAGTCACTTCCAACTCATAGTGACTATGTAAAGGGTTTCCAAGGAGTGACTGATGAGTTTGAACCGCCAACCTTAAGGATCAAACCGACTTGCAGTTCAGCGCATTATCCACACCAGAACTCTGATTTTATTCCTAGTCAGGAATATAGTCACAGATCAACCTGAATCTTTTGATATTTTTCAAGATATTTGATGTTTTTCCTTCTTGAAATTGATCTAGTCACTAAATTTCAGTTGATGTCTATTATACTTATCTATTACAGTTTTAATGAACTGCCCCAGAATTTAGAGGCTTAAAACAACACTGTTAAGGAGCACTCATAGCATAGTGGTTACGAGTCGGGCTGTTAATCTCAATGTAACAGTTCGAAACTACCAACCACTCCTTGGGAGAAAGATGAGGCTCTCTGCACCTGTAAAGATTTACAGCCCCAGAAACCCTGTACACGGTCACTATGAGTAGGAACCAACTCCACAGCTCATAACCACCACCACCAACACCATCATGAACTCCTAGTATGATTCTAGGACCAGCACTGGACTGTGAACTACAAGGTCAGCAGCTCAAATCTACCAGTGGCTCCTTGGAAACCCTTTACAGGGTCACTATGAGTCAGAACTGATCAGCAGCACTTAACAACAACATTATATCTTAAAACTACTCATCTGTCACTTTGTTATGCTGTAGTTGCTACAAAGCACCTCTTTAAAGTGTCAAAAAGCAAAGATAGCACTTAGAGGATTAAAGTGTGCCTGACCCAAGCCATGGTATTTTCAGTTACCTCATGTGAAAGCTGTACAATGAATAAGGAAGATTGAAGAAAAATTTAATTATGGTGTTGGTGAAGAATATTGAATATAGCATGGACTGCCAGGAGAATGAACAAATTTGTGTTGCTAGAAATATAGCGAGAATACTCCTTAGAAGTGAGGCTGGCAAGACTTTGTCTCATGTACTTTGGACAGGTTATCAGGAGGGACCAGCCCCTGGCCAAGGATTTTGTACCTGGAAAAGTAGAGGGCCAATAAAAACTTTTAAAAAAAGGAAGACCCTCAACAAGAGGAACTAACACAGTGGCCTCAACAGTGGGCTCCAAAATTGCAAGGATTATGAGGATGGCATGGGACCAGGCAGTGTTTAGTTCTGCCACACATAGGATCATTATGAGTTAGAACCAATTCAATGGCACCTAACAACAACCTTACCTCTGATAGTTCTTTGGGTCATCTGAACATCCCTGGATTTCTCATGCAGTTGCCACCTGATAGCATGAGGGGCTGGAGTCATCTGAAAGTTCAGTTGGGCCTGTTGTCCATGATGGCCCACTCAATTCTGGCTGTCTGCTCAAAACTTAGCTAAATCTACCTACTGAATCACTCACAAGTGGCCTCTTCAAGTGGTTTTGGCTTCTTCTAACATGGTGGTTTGGTTTTGAGATGAAACATATCCCAAGAACCAATATTCCAAGAACGAAACTATGTAAGAGCGATGACTAGAGCTAACACAGCATCACTTTCTCCATATTTTATTCCTCAAAGAAGTTTCAGTCCCACCTCAGTTCAAGGGAGTGGCCAAGTGTCAGGTCACATTGCATAAGAGCTCATGTTGTTGTTGTTAAATGCCATTGAGTCAGTTCTGACTCATCGCAACCCTGAATAGGGTTTCCAAGCAGTACCTGGTGAGTTTGAACCACTAACTGTGTGGCTCAAACCAACCTTGCAGTCCAGTGCTTTATCTTACAGTGCCACAGCAGGACTTCTGAGCACGTAGGAAGGAAGGTATTATTACAGTTGTGTTTGGAAAATAGGCTCTGAGAGACATTATTTCACATTTTTGCAAATAAAGAGGTTAGTGTAAAGTATTAAAAGAAATATATTTCAAAAGATCAATAAAATGTTCCCGAATGTTAAATAAAATCAGTTCCTTAACCTAGATTTCATAGTTGATCATTTTAAAATGTAAGGATTTACTAGATCTGTAGTCCAATCCGGACTGGACAGCAAGGTTTGAACCACAAGGTCAGTAATTCAAATTCACCAGATGCTTCTTGGAAACCCTACACAGGATCACTATGAGTCGGAAACAACTCGATGGCACTTAACAACAACATAGTCCAATCAAAGGAACCCTGGCAATGCAATGGTTAAGTATGCAACCACTAACTGAGAAAGGTCCGCCATTCAAAGCCACCAGCCACTACATAAGAGAAAGATGTGACAGTCTGGTTCTGTAAAGATTGTTGTTGTTGTAAGGTGCCATCAAGTTGGTTCTGACTCAAATCAACCCTGTATAGGGTTTCCAGTAGGGTTTCCAAGGAGCAGCTGGTGGGTTTGAACTACTGACCTTGCAGTTAGCAGTCCAGGGCTTATCCTACAACACCACATCAGTACTTCAACCTGGAAAAGCCTATGGGGCAGTTCTGTTCTGTCCAATAGGGTGTCTGTGAGCTGGAATCAACTGGATGGCAAAGGGTTTTGGTGGGCTTATAGGCTAGCAAAACAAACTGTAGAAATAATGGAATATGTTACCAAGAAAACAATAATAGCATTCATAAAAATAATGCAACTACAGCCATTGTTGTCCCAACTGTAGATTCTGTACTTTATATCGTATCTCATCTCGTACATAAATGCAGTAGATGTTACACTCATTTGTCAGATGAGGAACCCGAAGCTCAGATAGGGAATAGAATTAGTACATGGCCCAACAACTGCCATACAGTGGTGCTAAGAGGTAATAGAATACAAGTATACAAAATAGTTATTAAAGATACTCTTAAAAGATAAAAATAGTAAGTGGCGAAAACCAACAATGTAAAGTTTCTAAAATATGGTAATCTAAAATGAGTCACTGATTCACTTATCCTTAATGTACTCTCCAACCTTGTGCACATGTCTGTTCATTGTTCTGATAGGCAGAAAAACGTGTTACTAGTGATTCTCATGTTATTTAAAAATATACTTGGGTTTTTTTTTGGTTTTTTTTGTACTAAATGTTAACAGAAATCGTCATACAGGATGGTAATCAGGAGAGGCAGGAATGATCCATCTGGATTTCTCTTGAAGTACACAGAGGCTTTTGCTATTCCAGTTAATGTGGTTGGTTCTTAGGTTCTGTCATCAATTGTTGCTGTTTTTAAGTTCCATCGTGTCAGTCTCGACCCCATAGTGACCCTGTCTAGGGTTTCTGAGGAGCAGCTGGTCAGCTTGAACCACTGACCTTGCAGTTCAAACCAACTTTGCCATCCAGCACATTAACCCACAGTGCCACACCAGGACTCTGTCAGCAATATTTAGTGTTAATTCTGGTCTACCAGTTGGCTGTGATTCTGCTGTTGCAATAACATGATCTAGGTATACATGAATGATTCTAGTCTCTGATTTAAATACACCAACATAGTAGACCAAAGAAAACCAAGCATAGTTCAAAAGGACCTGCTTGGAGGTTGTAGAAAATAGGTTTTCAGTTGGTAGAAATCACATGCCCAGTTGTTCATTCAGGTTTAGATTCAGAAGGACATGTGGCTCCCAGAACTATGAGGCAACCAGTGGGAAACACTGTATTAGTTATCTAGTGCTACTATACCAGAGATACCACAAATGGATAGCTTTAACAGCTTTTACTCTCCCTGAGTTTAGAAAACTAAAAGTCTGAATTCAGAGTATCAGCTCTGGGGAAAGGTCCTTGTCTCCTGTCAGCATCTATAGACCCAGCATTCCTGGGAGATCTGCATGTGTCTTAGCATCATCTTCCTCTGGATCTAGGAGCTTCACAGTGCAGGGTCCAAAGGATGCACTTCACTCCAGCTCTTCTTTCTTGGTGGCAGTGAGGCCCTCTTTCTTGGCTCACTTCTCTTGCCTTTTATTTCTCAAAAAAGATTGGCTCAAAATACAACCTAATCCTGTAGATTGCATTCAACATCATTACAGTCAAAAGAGGTGAGGGTTTACAATACATTGGGTAATTACACCAGATCAGGACTGATCATGTCAGATCTCATCATATATGGAGGGGATAACTACATCTTAACTGCTAAATGGCCGAGAGTCCTGCCCAGCCAAGTTGAAACAAAACCTTTACTGTCACAAACAAATACCAAAAGTTGTACACATTTGTAGGTATGTCAACATATAAAAGCAAACTCAAGAGATGATAAAATTCATCCATGCAACTCTTTTGAAGGACCTATTAAGTCCCTGCAGGATAATGTGCTGGACTGCAAGATCAGTTTAAACAACAAGGTTGGCGGTTCAAACCCACCAGCTGCTACTCGGAAACTCTATACAGGGTCGCTATGGATTGGAATTGACTCAACAGCACTTAACAACAACATTAATTCCCTGGAGTCCAATTATTTGGGACATACCTGTTGCCTTCACGTTGTTTACATCTGCCTAAAAAAGAAGACTAGACATAAATGAAATGGAAATATAATCGTGATGGTGGGAGCTTTCAAAATCTTGGTTACCAACCAGAGGAAGGCAACCTAGCATTATGGAAAAGGCATTTTGCTAAAAATCACATTTCTGAATCTTTTCCCTCATCTATAAAATGAGGATATGCTGTTGTTATGTTCGTGGAGTCGGTTCTGACTCATAGCGACCCTGTACAGGGTTTTCGAGGCTGTAAATCTTTATGGGAATAGAAAGCCTCATCTTTCTCCTGCGGAACAGCTGGTAGTTTCAAACTGCTGACCCTGAGGTTAGCAGCCCGATTCGTAACCACTACGCTACCAGAGCTCCTTAGCAGCGCCATAGGACTACATTATTTTAAGACCTTGTTCAGCTGTACAAATCATATTCCTACCCAAGACTTTTATGACTTACTTTTCGTTTCTTGGTTTCTTTGCCCATTCTTTTCCCATTATTATAATAGTACCTAAGGTAGCTCTGGTAGCGTAGTGGTTATGAATCGGGCTGCAAGCCTCAATGTCAGCAGTTCGAAACTACCAGCCGCTCCGCGGGAGAAAGATGAGGCGGTCTGCTCCCGTAAAGATTTACAGCCTCAGAAACCCTGTGTAGGGTCGCTATGAGTCGGAACCGACTCCATGGCACATCACAACAACAACAACAAATACTATAGTGGAGTCCTGGTGTGGCGCTGTAGGTTAATGCACCAGACTGCAAAGCCGTCTGCAAGGTCAGCAGTTCAAGCTCACCAGCTGTTCCTTGGAAACCCTATACAGGGACGCTGTGGATCGGAACCAACTTGACGGCACTTACCAACAACAACAATACTATAGTAGTCCCTCAAGAAGTTTCTAATGTAAGATGCTGTCAGTTGAAACGAAGAAAAATGCTTCCAATAAACTGTAAAATGCTATAAAGTGAAGGACATATTACAATGTCAGAAAAATTATAATAGGGAGGCTTGGGGATGAAGCTTAGAATTAGCAAAATCATTTTCCTTCACTCTCATTTGTACATATTCATTGTGAACATTTTAAATATGCATTGAAAAATATCTCTAAATTTCATGACTCTTCTCATCTCCCTATGAGTTCATACTCGAACATTATTTTTCTTTTCTTTTTAATCGTAAGATTTCTTCATGTCCTGTGTTGTACCACGTTTGCCTCAACGTGAGCCCTATGGGGGTTTCCTGCTGCTGGCTAGTTTTAGGCAAATTCCTTACCTGAAGGTATATGGGAATGGTGTAATTTCAGATCCCACTCTTTTTCCAGTGGGTGATGTTTTCCACCAACAGCCTTGGGTGGGTCCCAGGGTTCTGGTTTCATTCTTGGATCAGTGCACTGTGTGGTTCTGTGTTTCCTATCACAGTCTGGACCATGCTTCTTGGACACTAACTTTATTTAGTACCTCGTTTTCAGCTCTCTTCCTAGCATGAGTCTGAGAATTTAATTCAGAATTTTGTAAACCTTAAGGCAGGTTTGACAAATGGTTTACAGGAACAATACAATCCTTCTCGGGTCTTTTCTTTTTCTATAACAATCTCCAGTCCCCAAGACTTTCTGTTAATAGTATTTAAGTAGACATATTATATCATTTTTTAAATTTTCAGATGGTATTTGCTTTTTTTATATGTCATTCTTATTTACTGTCAAAGTATCCTTTTATGAGTCACATTAGTCTGAAGTGTTTGAGACTTTCCTTCTTAGGGCTAGTAGTATGCTGAGCTGGAAAGAAAATCTACTCCTTAATAAAAAAATTATTAATCATAAGTATATCCAACATGCTAGATGGAGAAGAAATAGAAAAACAATTTGTAATCCTTGACCTTGAGTAGTTAAGAATTTATTTAGTGAGAAGTTTACTTGAAAAAAATTGTGTATTTACGTGTTGGTATTTTCTTTTAGCACCTCTTCCTTCTAAAAGTGCTTATGTTCTATCCACGATTACAGACAAGTCTGACTGGTTGCCAACAATTTGGCTTCATAGATTTAACTTTTGTCTTCTATGCAGCTGACCAAGAGGAGGAAGCTCACCCCGAATTCAAATTTGGAAATGAACTTTCTGCTGATGACTTGGTTCACAAGGAAGCTGTTGCAAATAGTGTCAAAAAGGTCAGAGTCTTTGTGTCCCTTTTCTGTTATGATTCTCAAGAGATAGCAGTAGCTAGTAAATGAATTTCTGGAAATATGATGACCTCAAAAGAAGAAGTGACCCCTTCTGAATTGCTTGGAAGGACACAAGTCTCTTAGTAGGGACTGGACTTGACATCTGAACTTGAGTGGCCCACAAGAAAATGAAAGGACATTTCAATTACTCATTAATCATGTCCAGCCTTGACCACTACCATATGCCAGTGTCCTTTAAATGTTTTTACCATTGATAGAATTACTAAAGGTGAGTAGGAAGATCACAACAGCAAATACCCCAATAGCAAAGGTTAGCCTATTGAAGCCATCAGGAAAATGATTCCTAAATATCCCAAGTCAAGTCCTTTTTAGCCAGTCCTGGTAGGCTAATGCGTCAGACTGCAAAGTTGTTTGAAATGCAAGGTCAGTGGTTCAAGCTCACCAGCTGCTCCTTGGAAACCCTGTACAGGGTCGCTGTGGGTCGGAATCGACTCAATGGTACTTAACAATAACAACAACCTGAAGTCCTGGTGTGGCGCTGTAAGATAAGCACTGAACTGCTAGCCACAAGGTTGGTGGTTCAAACCCACCAGCTGCTCCTCAGAAATCCGGTATAGAGTTGCTATGAGTCAGACCTGACTCGACAGCACTTAACAACATCAACAACACCAGTTATATATCAACTTCCTAATACAAAGTGGCGCATTAACCCACAGTGCCAGACTGCAAAACCCATTTGAACTGGAAGGTCGGCAGTTCAAGCTCACCAGTGGCTCCTCAGAAACCCTATACAGGGTCTCTATAGGTCGGAACTGACTCAACAGCACTTAACAACAACAGCAATAGAGAGTGGTGGTAGTGGTGTGCCGTGGAGTCGGTTCTGACTCACAGTGACCCTTTATAGGGTTTCTGAGGCTGTAAATCTTTACAGGAGCAGAAAAGTCTCCTTTCTCCCACAGAATAGATGGTAGTTTGGAACTGCTGACCCTGAGGCTAGCAACCTGACTCATAACCACTACACTACCAAAGCTCCTTAATATAAACTAGACAAGAAAATATTTCCATCTCTCAATCAAGAAAAATACTATTGTGTATCTCCTGTGTGCCAGATATAGTCTAGACAATGATGATCTAGAAAAATCAAAATAAACTTGCTTTCTGCCCTCATGCAATTTATAGTCTAGTGGGATTTTAGGGGAAGAGGAGAGGGAACAAACAACAAACAAGTAAGCAATCAAATAATTATATAATGACAATTTTAGATAAATGCTAAATGAAAATAAAAACAAGTGCTAATAAAATGGAGAATAATGAGGTGGAGGGAATAAGGAAGCCAGGACCCAACGAAAAAGAGCTGGCAGCCATGCACAGAGGAGGATAAATAATTTTCCATGCAGAGGGGCCATATATTTGTTTCCTAGGGCTTGGGAACCAAATACCACAGAGCAGTTCAGAACTGACTCAAAGACACTTAAACAGTTATATTCTGTGGTCTCATGTTAACTGATAACATCTTCAATGACTCTTATTTCAAGATCATATTCATAGATACAGGAAGTTAGACCCTCAACATGTCTTTTGGGGGATAAAATTCAATCCATAGCAAACACCACCATGTACTTATATAAATATTTATATCTATAACTAGTAAATTTGGTATGTTGCCTTTTAGAGATGTAAACATTATTTTCCTTTCTTAATTTAGGTTTCAGATGATCTTGAACATGAAAACAACAAAAAGGTAGCAAAATAATTGCCTAATATGTTTATTTTCATTACATGACACCTGTAGTTGACCCTCAAATATTGAACATTTGTACCACGTGTTGTTGTTACTTTTTTTTCAACCATGAGATGTCAGGCTTAATTATAAGAGTCTTCAAGAAAAAGTTGTCATCACAGTGACACAATGACTAAGTCCTGATAAAATCACCAAATGAGGCCAGATGAATCAAAGGCCTAGACCTGTATCATGAGTGATTTTCCTATAAATAGCTGTTAATGAAGTCAGGCATTTTCTTAGGTAGAACTAGAGATTTCATTCTTAGACTAGAGCTACATAATCTATTAAGATACTTAATTAGAAAATAAAATGGGCTATCAGACACAACCCCTACCCTTATTTGAGGAATCAGGACATATTTCCCTCCCCCCCCCACAAAAAAACAATAATTTTTTCCCCAAAGTTACATTATTTAATTACTTACCTCAGAGTTTTATTGTTGAAATGCATTTGTTTATGGAGAGTGGCCAGATTGTTAACAATTAAGACAAACAAGTGATCCACCCTTTTTTTTTTCCACCTCCAGAATTGACTAGTGTGACTAAGAAGTTTACATATCTGTAGTCAATCTATATAGGAAATTTAGCTCTTCAAAATTCTCTACAACATGTTGATCACTTTGGAATACTTCATATATTTTTGTCAATTTTGTTGAATTTTTTTTGCTAATTTACAAAGAAATGAGCTAAAAGGTTTTTTTTGTTTTGTTTTCCTTTTCCTCAATGAAAAATAATATAATTTTAATGTGTCCTATGGAGTGTTGTTGTGGCACTATAGGATAAGCACTGGACCGTAAGATCAGACTTCCCAGCCACTCTCCGGACACCCTATGGAGGTTCGCTCTGAGTCAGAACCAATTAGATGGCACAACAGTAACATGTAGGATCAGATTTTTGGAGACTAAAATTAAAAAGGACTTCTACATGGGGCTTAAGCGCTGGAGCAGTGTTGTGCAAAGTGTGGTCCTCAAGATGTGAAAATATGAATAATGCCATCTGTACACATTTAATAGCATTGCTTTGAGACTCAAGATAGTTCTTCAAATACTTTGAATTCCTTTGAAAATCTGAAAATGTGATGCATTAGGTAAAATTAAATTTCAGTGGTTCAAACTCACCAGCCCCAGAAACCCTTTTATAGGAACGTTATGAGTCGGAACCAACTTGACAGCACTTAACAACAATAGCCACAAAGTAGATATAATTTTTTAATTGATCCTGTAGCATAATTGAAGAAGAAAGTATTAACTTTCAGTTTGGGTGCATGTCTATGCAAACGATCTTTTGTAAGGAAGTCTGCAGTCTATATAGTTGGGTTCTATCGGAAGTCATAGACATATATTCTTTATTGTGTTTGTAGGGCCTGGTTACTGTAGAAGATGAGCAGGCGTGGATGGCATCTTATAAGTATGTAGGTGCTACCACTAATATCCATCCGTATTTATCCACAATGATCAACTACGCACAGCCTGTAAAGTTTCAAGGTTTCCATGTGGCTGAAGGTAACACTAAAGGTTAAATGCAATAGCCTTTTTGTCTGCCTTTCTTTTATTATGCTAATGAGCCGTGTTAGCACACCTTGCCATTTTCTTTTCCAGAGCAGGGCTGCTGCACTTCCGTGATTTTTGCTCCAAACACCCTTGGTCTGTGGTTTCATTGCATTGTTGTTCTCACTATCATCCACAAGGTGGCTCTGAGAGATTGTGGTTTTTGTTAGCACTGGTGCTCGCCTGCCTTGCCTCTCATGTTCCATCTGCTTTCACAAAATTCCTGTAATCAGAAACTGGTCGGATAAGCACTGGTCTGCTTACACAGGGTCAGCAGTTCAGACCTACCAGCCACTTTGTAAAAGAAAAATGAGGCTTTCTGCTGCCGTAAAGATTTATAGCCTCGGAAACCCTATACAGAGATGCTATGAGTCAGATTCGACTCGATGGAAATGAAGTGGTTTTTGTCGTTGCTTTTTCCAAAAACATACAAAACATTATTGAGCTTTCCATAATCGTTGTTTAGCTGGAGAAACCATCATCATCACATTTCAGGAGTGGGTTTAGCAATTGGGGTATGCATAGTTTGTTTAATGTCTCAAAAGTTAAATTCATTGCATTTTTTTTTTTTTTTTAAATAAAGCAGTGTCTCCATCTGGAGAACCTTAATGAAAGTACAAGCTACTGATATGATAATATAGCATCTGCCTCCAAAACCAGGATGTAATTACATTTACTTTCTTGTCTTTCTCTGAGAGTTTGGTAGCATGGTTTCTTAATGCATCTTTGCTTTACTTTACAGATCGCAATATCCATTATAACATGTCTTCTTTTAATGAATCAGTCGGGCTGGGCTACTTGAAGACACACGCAATTGAATTTGTGAAGTATCCTTATGTGTTAAGTGGCTTGAATGGTTAGTGCGATTTTAGTTTTGCTGGAGTCTCTAAAAGAGATAAATGGCTCTTATATAATTTTGATTGTATGCCTAACAAAATCTAAAAGACCACAGTAGAAATCTGTCCAAATGTGAGTTGTTTCTATAAAGCACAAATATGCTTTTCTCTCAACCATTATGTGTGAAAATTCTCCACGTTGTTGTTTGTCATTGTTTTCCTAGACCTTTGTTGTTTTGGCCATTTATCTATCTCTACCATACTACTCTTTGTTTCTGTTTTCCTTAATAAAACACACAGTTATAACAAACGGCAAATGAGTCGCATTTACCCCAAGGGAGGCAGAGTGGACTCCAGTAATTACATGCCTCAGATTTTCTGGAATGCTGGCTGCCAGATGGTCTCATTGAACTATCAGACCCCAGGTAGGCACTGATGTACAGTGACCCTGAATTCTACAGGAAGCGTTTGACATATGGTACCAACAGTCACCCTCATTGACTGTGGACAGTTTTCAAAACAAGCTGACTTATATCAAAACAATGTGTTTTATGGTTTGTATGAAGGTAAGAAATCGAAATTCTAAGTAGAGTAGTTCATTAATGGTAGAAGAAAATTTTTATGTAAAGTAAAATTTCTTTTATAAATGCCATGGACTACACAGCTTTTTATGTCCCTTATTCTGTATGGTTCTAGTTTTTCTTCCTTTCAGATCAAAACTTTTATCCTTGTTTCCAAAGACAGGATTAAAAATGAAAATAATTTACAAAGAATTTGAGAATCTTTGCATAGTAACTATAGTTCATTATCTTCTAGAAATAACCCTGACCAGTGCTACCATTGAATTGTTGTTGGTAGGTGCCATCGAGTCAGTACCAACCCATAGCGAACTTATGCACAGCAGAACGAAACACTGCCTGATCCTGGGCCAACCTCACCACTGTTGCCACTCGAGTCCATCAATGCTGTCACTTGGCCAATCCATCTCGTTGGGGGTCTTCCTCTTTGTCTCTGACCCTCCACCTTACCAAACATGATATCCTTCTCCGGCAACTGGTCCCTCCTGAAAATATGTCCGAAGTATGAGAGATGAAGTATGGCCATCTTGACCTCCAAGGAGGCTATTGAATAGCCCTCAACAATATAGTGCCACCTCATCATAACATGACAATATTTTAAAGTTGTTGTTGTTGTTAAGTGCCATTGAGTCAGTTCCAACTCATAACAATCCTGCATAGGGTTTCCATGGAACAGCTGGTGAGTTTGAACTGCCAATCTTGTAGTTCCAACCGACCTTGCAGTCCAGTGCACTATCCTGTAGCGCCATACCAGGGCTCTGTGCTAAAATGGCAAGTAAGGAGTTATAGATTCTTAGAAGTGCTAATCTATAACCTGGTCCTCTAAAATGTGTTCAAAGGCAGATTTCCAGTATATATAAAAAAAAAATTCCTAGAAGGCAACGAGTAAATATTTAAAGATGTATAAACAAATTTAAAATCAATGTAAGGTTTTCTTAACAGTCTACAATCATAATAATCTGATTAAAGATAAGAAAACAGTAGACTCCAGTTGCTTACCTGAAATAAGTGAGAGATCTATTCATTTTCTATAGTTAATTACAAGTAAGACTTTTATGGTTATGCATGGCCTTTAGCCCCCGTAGGAAACCCTTTTATTGTTCAGCTCTTTGTTTGCTACATGAAGGTACCTCCCAATCATCCCAATTTCCTTTCTGGCCCATCCACAATACTATGAGAATCCTTGCCCACCCTACTTTCTCTTATCTGACCTAAACATTTTTTTGATTTTCATCTAGTTCCCATAGAATGTGAGTTGACTGTATGCAACCTTCCATTCAACCTCTTCTGGAGTCACCAATTTGTATGGTATTCCCAGTGGCCCTACTGTGTCTCACAGTGACAATAAAAAGAAAAGTCACTGAGAGTTTTGTTACTTTAACAGCACTCAAGTTGTTTTCCCACTTGGTCATTGAATCCTAAAGTACATTCCTTAGGTCAACGTATGTTTTATTTCATAATATCAAATTTAGCCACAGAATTTTGAAGAACAACAAGGAAAAGAAAAAAGAAAAAAACCCTCAGTTTTCCCATTTCTTTTGTTGCTAAGCAAAAAAGATTCTGTCCAACTTCAAGAGAAAAAAATCATAGTCATGCCCTGTCAACAAGGACCCCTCCACAGTTCTCCTGAAGTCTTACATTGGAAATAGCTACCTATTTTTCCATGAAGTTTACCTGGCTCTCTTTTAATTCTTTGCAATCAAGTTTTAACATAACCATGTTTCAATCTCCAGTACTCTCTCCCTGTGGGTTCACAAGGCATGTACTCTACAATTATATCAGCTTGGACATTTGTACTCTCAGCACTGACTGAACAATCATTGACTTTTGCAGTGAACCCAATTTTTAAAGCAAAGATGGGAAATCAGGAGCTTGGAATTCTAGCATGAGCTTCATGAAAACACATTTTGGTATATTAATTTAAATTAAACATGAGGTCATTTCAACAATGATGAGAGGCTTGTATTCCTTAAACAGACCCAGTCTTACCTTATGTTGTTACAAAGGTTGGAGATCAGTATCTGATTCCATTGTTTAAAATTATCCCATCAGGATCTTCTTTGTCCAGGCAGACGAGATACTAAATTATTTTTGTCTCTTGACAGATTTAGCGATGCAATTGAATCAGGGGAAATTTGAGTATAATGGATCATGCGGGTGAGTAATGTGATTTAAACTGTTGTCACCTTGTTCAGAACTCCATAATACAGCTATAATGAAAGCATGTCAGTTTTAATTAGGGGCTGTTGAATTTAAGCTTGGTTTGAGAGATGGAATAGAAACAAATGGAATCCCTAGGTAGATTATATTTGCAAATACACATTCTTCTTCTACTCCAGTTTCACTAAACAGATTTTTTTTTTTTTTTAACCACAAGTTAAGCAGTTCATCATATACTGGAGTTTCATTCGCTCGTTTTAAATTCAACATTGGAAGTAATTATAGCTGGGAGAGGTGATGATCCTTGATCATTTGAAAATTAACTGGAGACAAAGACACCAAAATATGTACATTTCATCTAGAACAAATAACTTCGTATATATTGAAGTTATGGGTATCAAATTGACTTCATTCAGTTGGAAATAAAACTGTGCCCTATTTCAATCTCTTTTTATTATTTTTTTGCATGTCTTGGAAATAACAGCAGAGAATGATGCTACTAATGCTATTCCAACTTACTTAAATAACACTCCTAAAAAATCTGTGAAGCAAGTAGTGAATTGTTGCTGTTGTCGTTGACAGCTATTGAGTTGATGCCAACTTAGAGTGACCTTCTGTACAACAGAATGAAATGCTGCCTGGCCCTGCATCGTCCTCACAATGTGTATGCATGAACCCAGTGTTTGTGCTCTTGTGCTAATCCAGGATGCTGAGCATCTCCCTCATCCTCTCCTTTAACTCACCAAATATGATGTCTTTCTCTAGTGATTGTTCTTTCCTGACAACATGTCCAAAGTAAGTGAATTGGACAGTGTTCTGTTGTGGTCCATAGGTTTGCACTGGCTAAGCTTAGTTGTAGATTCTCAGACCTTTCTTCTTTCTTCACCTAGAAGCTCCACTGAAATCTACCCACCACGGGTGGTCCTGCTAGTATTGGAAGTATTGGTGGGATAACTTCTAGTGTCATAGCAACATGCAAGCCACTGCAGTATGAGACACTGACAAAGGAGTAGTAGAAGTAATGAATTAAGAAATACTGGTGTGGTGCTGTGAGTTAATGTGCTAGACTGCGTAGTCGTTTGAACTGCAAGGTCACCAGCTTCTTTTCAGAAACCCTATACAGAGTCGCTATGAATCAGAACTGACTCGACGACACTAAACAACAACAATTTCACTCAAATGCTGAATGGTTGCATGAAAACTAGGAATTAGAATTCTATAAAGATGGGGGAAAATAAAACCTCTATGGCCATTTTCCCATGACCTCAAGTACAACTTCAGATATATAATCTCAGACCACTGTCCAGAGGCCTTGGGACTAATCCACTGGAGTCCCATCCCATAATGCTACTGTCAGGAAGGCCTTCCTGGAACTCTCCTAACTGGATACGTAAATTTCACCACAGAAAAATAACCAGTCAAGATGCAATTTTTCATGGGTTGTGGTTAGGAATGGCTCTTCAAAGTGAATACTCCCCGCATCTACCTGTATGTCCTGCCTGCATTCTCCCACATCTGAATCATAACCCTAATAATCAAGTATCCCTCCTCACAGAGGAGCTCCCATACACACCCCTCTATGGGGTGCTTTGAAAGAAATAAAAAAATTACTTAGGAATAAAAAGGTCAAGTAATCATTTCAGAAATTGTTTTAGATGATTTTATTATTTAGAAATGAGTTTTGGTTTAATAAAGAGCCTTGGTAGTGCAGATGAATAAATGTTGGGCTGCTAACCACAAGGTTGGTGGTTCAAACCCACCAGCTGCTCCAAGGGAGAAATATAAGGATGTTTTCTTCCCTAAAGATTTACAGTCTCAGAAAACTTAAGGAGCACTTCTACTGTCCTGTAGCATTGCTGTGAGTGGAAATCAACTTAATGGCAGTAGATGGGTGGTCCAATGGTAGTTTTCTCACCTGCCATGAAGGAGAAGCAGGTTCAATTCCTGGTCAATACAGCCCGTCTCTCAGTGGAAGCATGTGTGTTGCTATGATGCTGACCAGGCTTCATCAGAGTGTCCAGGCTGTGTGTGGGACATGTATGGCAAATGCGGTCATCCACATGGAAAAGGAAATACATCCTTACACCTCTGTGTATCTTTGCATCTCAGTAACAAAGGAGTTGTAGCTGGTAGATGCCGGGCTGGCAAGGGCAGGACCGTGTTTCCATGGAGCCAGATCACATAAAGCTCTGCGTGGCTTGTACAGACAGTGCTTGTCCTTGTCATTCTTCTACCCACTTGCAGAGACTTTTAAAAAAGTACTTGTAGGGGTTCCTCTGGGGGCTGTGTTTCTGTAAAGAGTGTTGTATGCTTTGTAAGTCTATGGTGACAAACAGTAGCCCTTGATAAAGAACATCCGTGCATAAGGCACAGGATAGCTCCAGAAACTATTAACAGTAAGAGAGCATCAGAAACCCATCTGGGAATCCCCCTTTGCTCTGTGGGGGTAGGTACTGTGTTGGACCACACCTTTAGGCCCTGTAAGTGATTTTTATCAGGAAAGGGATCAGTGGTTTATTACAGGCTGGTTTTCTCTAATTCTTAATGAGACATAATGGAGTAAATAAGTATCTAAATCTTTTTAGGTTTTCATAAAAACTTGAATGATTCATATCAAGATAATATGACATTTTATGATTCAAAGATGCATACTTTTTATATGACATCCTCAAATTGGACTCTTTTGATAAGCAGTAGCATTTTACAATTATAATCAGCAGACTTTTTGCTTTGTTAGTGGTAAATGAAATAATGGAGTTTGTAAACTGTGCACATTTATTTGTGGTGAAATGTGATAAATTTTCTTATCGCCAAGGAGCCCATTGGACTGCTAGCCACAAGGTCTGTGCTTCAAACCCACCAGCCGCTCTGAGGGAGAAAGATGAGGCTATCTGCTGTTGTAAAGATTTGTGGCTTGGGTAACCCTAAGGGACAGTTCTGCGCTGTCCTGTGGGGCCTCTCTTGAGTTAGAATCAACTCGATGACAGTGGATTGGGTCTTTCTGATCCCATCTTCTGATTCTGTAACTCCTGTATGCTTACATGGCTGAAGATCCTTCATTCCTCTCCCCCTTGCTTTTTGAGGCCTCACAAGAGACACAGAGATCCTTGGATGTCTTCACTTGCCACTGACTGACTTCAGCTTTTGCCCATGTCTACCACACAGACCTGGATCCCTGGAATAATTTCATGTCGTGTACCAAAAAGCACCAGACAATACCAGCTATATAATTTTCAGGACCCACGACAAAATGAAAACAAAAGGGGCCTTGTTTAAAAATTATTAAACATTTCAAGACACAAGTTACAATGGATTAAACCAAGTACAGATCTGTCTAAACTTGGGACTATACAGTCAACACAGCCATAAAATCCAGTCTAGCACCAGGCTGTAGCTTTTGCTTCCCAATCAAGATGTAGGTGCCCTGGGCCTGCATAGTCGCCAGACAGGCTGGTGACTTTTGAGAAACAAAAGAGCAACTTTTTGCTGCTTCCACAAGCTGCCTCTGGGTCTAGAACAGACACTTCTAGACAAGCTGGCCAACCATTCCATCCAAGACCCGGCCCACCTCATTCATGGTCCTGTTCAATTTTTACTTGATCTCTTCTGCTACTTTTAAGTGTACAATATGATCATGAGGATGGTGGTTATGTGTCTTGAAGTTAGTTCTGACTCATTGCAACCCTGCATAGGGTTTCCAAAGGTATAAGTCTCTATGGGACCAGAAAGCCTCATCATTCTCCCACAGAACTGCTGATAGCTTCGATCTGTTGAACTTTAGGTTAGCAGCCTAACTTGTAGCCACTAAACTACAAGAGTTCCTGCTTTGGAGAATGGGATTTAGCCCCCTTCCCCTTCTCTGGTCATTTTTCATTTTGCTTCAGTTCACTCTTTCACAATGGAAGAGATTCATTTTCTTCTAAGCAAATCTGAAAGGAAGGAAAGCGGAAGAATACTTTTGACCCTGAGACATCATGAGAATCACATTCCTCTGTTTTTGGTGGGATGGCTGGATGGAGTAAGTATTGCTGAATTTCTGGACAGCCACTGCCCAAGGAGATTCTGTACTAAAAAAAGAATGTTGTTGTTGTTGTTAAGTACCGTTGAGTCGATTCCAACTCATACAGACCCTGTATAGGAGGTTTGGGGAGTGACTGTTGAGCTTGAACTGCTGCTGACTTTGCAGTTCAGACTGACCTTGCTGTCCAGCTCATTAACCTGCAGTACCACACAATCCCAAAATTCAAGACTATCTCACAAGACAGGATCTCTCATTCTACAGAAGTAGAATCCATATGCTGACCCATGTGTGAAAACCAGAACAATTGTAATACAAAATTATGTGGTTGGTCCTATCTGGTGCTTTTTGGACATGAACTTACTCTGGGAATCCAGATTTGTGTGGCAGACCTGGGCAAAGCTGAAACCAATGGCAAATGAAAGCACCCAAGGAGCTCTGCTTCTTTTTCTTACTTCCCCTCACAACCTATGTTGGCTACCCAGTGAGAGCTGGTAGGGTTCCCTTGGTTTTTTGGGTTTTTTTTTTTAATGTTTTTATTGTGAACAGAGAGATTGTTTACATGGGAGAACATTAGTTTTATACCATCGTTTCATTCCAATGATTACAATCTCCTCTGTGCATCACCATTCATTTTTGCTTCCATTCTCTCTGTCTGTTTTTGGGGCTGGGAGGCATGTATACAGAAACACTTAGGAATATATAATAATTTAAACAACCAAAGGGCACATTCTGTAAGCCTGCCTCCTGGCCGCCAGCTTTCAGTCCCTCTCTTTCCATGAGTCTAGAGTTCTCAGCTGCTCCCTCTCTCCATGTCCTTATCTCTGCCTCCATCTCTGGTGTTGCTGCTTCTCTGGGTAGGGTCCTGCATTCCGCTTGTTCTCTTCTCCCTTGATGGTCCTAGGATCCTCTGTTTCTGGACTGTAAGATTAACTACTCCCCCATTTTTGTTACAAAACTTCTACCTTTACAGTTGTGACAGTCACAATTTGTCAGGATAACAGTTACTCAATATTGAATCATAAGAATCTTACCCTCATCTCTTTTTACCAGACCCGTCTAGACAAGACGAAACTAAACTCCCTCCTGAAAAAACTTGTAAGCCAGTCACTTCATGCCTTTATTGTTCCCTCATTTTAGGTAGCCAATGTTTAATTTGCTCGTCCTTATCTACACTGTATACAGAGGAGATAGGATTGATACTTAATGTGAAGACTCCTTCCCTCTCAGTTGGTATTTTGAGTTACTATATCTCTAAGTGTAGGTCAAGTTCATCAAATTGTAGCAATTTACCCTTGTTTCCTCTATAAAAAATTGTTTTTGTTTTTTTAATCTTCCTCTAGTCAAGTTCTGAGTATCAAGCATATCAAGACTAGGTCAAATGGGTAGTATCTGCAAGTTTGGGCCTACTTGTGCGTCTCACCTCACTTCATATCAACTGGATGCTCCACTCTCAGCTCCAGCCCTCTGTGGCTATGTCCTTGTCTATGGGCTCAGGAGTCCCCAGGTCTCACCATACTTCAGGCCAACAACCAGCCCTTCCTCTTCTCTCTGTCATCTCCAGGTTGACAGGAGTCTATGGAACGTGGTTGAACTCAGCTCATTTCTTCATTGCTCCCTTGGTTTTCATCCTATGCTTTATCTATCATATTTTCCAAGTAACAATACATACACACATACATATAAGCACACATGGCCCAAATCCTGAACTCTAAGCATCTAGAAAAACAATTGCTTCTCTGCACCTAGAGTTTTTATATTAATATTTTGAGTTGTATTCTCCTGTAAACAAGAGACCATTCTAAATACTCTTTAATATTTGAATGATTCTTTAAATCATCTAAGTCTTTAATCTACCATCCATCTAAGACAGACCACAAAGTAGGACCTAGCTATCTACTTCTGAAAAAAACTAATCAATGAAATCTGTATGGATAGTACTGGAACATTGTCAGATATAGTGCTATAAGATGAGCCCCTCAAGTTGGAATGAACTCAAAATATGACTGAGGAAGAGCTGTCTTCTCAAAGTAGAGTTGACTTTAATGATATGCTGGAGTAAAACTTTCAGCACCTTCATTTACTGCTGTAGCACTACTCACAATAAGAAGAAACAGCTGCAAACATCCAATAGAACATAAATTTATGAAGTATGAATCAAGGAAAATTGTAAGTTGTCCAAAATGGAATGGAATGCTTGAAGATCAATATCCTAGGCTTTAGTGAGCTGAAATGGCCATTTTGAGTTAGACAATTATGTAGTTTACTGTCTCATGGATGATAAATTGAAGAGGAATAATGTCATTTTTGTTATCCAAAATAACATTTTTGCATCTATCCTGAAGTACAACGTTGTCGGTAATAGAGTGATATCCATGCACTGCAAGGAAGACTGGTTTATATGACTTTTATTCAAATTTGCATACCAGCCAATAATGCCAACGATGATGAAATTAGAGAGTTTTACAAAGTTCTGCAATCTGAAATTGATCAAACATGCAATCAAGACACACTGATAATTACTGGTGATTAGAATGCAAAAATTAGAAGCAAAGAAGAAAAGATCAGTAATTGGAAAATATGGCAGAAGTGGAACTACTGATCACATGATAGCATTTTGTAAGACCAATGACTTAATCATTTGAAAGGCCATTTTCAGCAACATAAGTGGCAACTGTACATGAATCTTACAGGATGGAATATACAGGAATCAAATTAACCTGCATTTGTGGAAAGAGATAATGGAGAAGTTCAACAGCGTGAGTCAGAACAAGGCCATGGGACAACTGTGGAACAGTACCACGAACTGCTCACATGCAAATTCAAGTTGAAGTTGAAGAAAGTTAGAAACAGTGAAAGGGAGCCAAGGTACAACCTTAAGGAGATCCCACCTGCATTTAAAGACTATCTCAAGAATAGATTGGACACATTAAGCATTAATGTGCAAAGACCAGATGAATTGTGGAATGACATCAAGGACATCCTACATGAAGTAAGTAAAAAGTCATTATTGCTGTTGTTGTTAAGTGCTACTGAGTCTGTTCTGACTCATAATGACCCTATATAAGGTTCCTGAAGAGCAGCTGGTGAGTTTGAACTGCCGACCTTGTAAAAAAGTCATTAAAGAATCATAAAAGAAATAAAAGGCCATAATCGATGTCAGAAAAGACTCTCTAACTTGTTTTTTAACATAGAGTAACTAAAGTGAATGGAAGCCATAATGAGGTAAATTTCTGAGGGTGATTCAAGAAGATCAGGTAAACTAGTATAATGAAATGTGCAAAGACCTGGAGTTGGAAAACAAAAAGGGAAGAGCATGCTCTGTATTTCTCAAGCTGAAAGAACTGAAGAAAAAAATTCAAACTTTGAGTTACAATATTGAAGGATTCTGTAGCAAAAACTTCAACAATGCAGGAAGCATCAAAAGATGATGGAAGGAATATACAAAGTCACTGTACCAAAAAGAATTGGTTGATGTTCACCCATTTCAGAAGGTAGCATATGATCAAGAACTAGTTATATTGAAGGAACAAGTCTAAGCAGTATCAAAGTCCTTAGTGAAAGACAAGTGTCCTGGATTGAGATGTTTCAACACACGAATGTACCACTGGAAATGCTCACTCATCTATGCCAAGAAATTTGAAACTTTTCCTGGCTAACTGACTGGAAAATATTCATATGTGTGGTCATTCCAAAAAAAGGTGAACCAATGAAATGTTGAAATTATCAAACAATAGCATTAATATCACACACATTTATAATTTTGCTGGAGGTAACACTAAAATGGTTGCTTCTGCAGATTGACAAGAAACTACTAGAAACTTAAACTGGATACCAAAGAGGAAGTGGAATGAAGGATCTTATTGCTGATGTCAGACATGTCTTGGTTGAAAGAGAATATCAGAAAGATGTTTATGTTTTATTAACTATGCAAGGGCATTTAGCTGTGTGGATCATAATATTATGGATAACATTGTAAAGAATGGGAATTCCAGATCACTTAACTGTGTTCCTATGAAACCTGTTTAAAGGCCAAGAGTCATTCATTCACACATAACAAGGGGATAATGAATGGTCTGAAATTAGGAAAGGTATGTATGAGGGTTGTATCCTTTCACCATACTTATTCCATCTGTGTACTGAGCAAATAATGTGAGAGGCTGGATTGTAAGAAAAACACCATGCCATCAGGATTGGAGGAAGACTGATAAGCAGTCTCAGTACATAGATGATACTGCCTTGCTTGTTGAAAGTGAAGAAGTCTTAAAGCATTTACTGCTGAAGATCAAAGACTTCACCTTCAGTATGAATTAAAACCTCAACATAAAACTAAAATCCTTACAACTGAACCAATAACCAGCATTATGACAAATGGAGAAAATATCAAAATTTTCGATGATTTCATTTTACTTAGATCCAAAGGCAATGCCCATAGAAATAGTAGTCGAGAAATCAAATGAAATATTTCATTGAGCAAATCTGCTACAAAAGACCTCTTTAAAGTATTAAAAATAAAAAATGTTACCTTGAGACGTGACCCAAGCCATGGTGTTTTCAGTAGCCTCATATGTATGAGAAAGCTGGACAGTGAATAAGGAAGACATAGAAGAATTGATGCATTTCAATTATGGCAGTGGCAAAGAATATTGAAAATTACCAGAACTAAGCAATCTTGCCTAGAAGAAGTACAGTCAGATGCTCCTTAGAAGCAAGAATGATGGAACTTCATATTATATCCTTTGGACATGTTATCAGGAGAGGCCAGTCTTGAAGGACATATGCTTAGTAAAGTAGAGGGTTAGTGAAAAAGAGGAAGCGCTTCATTGAGATGAACTCACACAGTGTCTGCAAAGATTTGGAGGATGGCACAGGACCAGTGTTTCTTTTTATTGTACATAGAGTTGCTATGAGTTGTAACCTACTCCAGTGAACCGGACACAAGTAATTTATCAAAATATCAGTTGTTTTCCCACATGGGTTCGTTTTGATAATTAAATCAAAGTTGAAGGTGTGATTGCTTTTTAATGCTTTTTTTAAGTAGCAATTAATGGTTTTAGTTAAAACCAACAAATGCAACATTTTAAACTTTCTTGGAAAAGCATCATACTTCAGGATCCTTCCAGATTACATTTAAAGAGGTAGTAATAAGTTTGACATTAGCCAAAGTTGGCATTGGTGGAAGTTTATGCGCCTAAGAAAAATAAGAGATTAGATCCCCCAAATTTTGTTCCTTTCCCATTTAAAAGCAAACCTATCACTTTGGAAAATAACATCAGTTCTATTTTCCTTTAGAACTTTTTTTTAAAGAAACAGGCTTAGAAGAACTGTTCACTTAGTAGAGTGATGTTTTTCTGGCTATGGTTAACACATTCTTAGTTAAGTACTTCAAATCCTCTTGCTGAACATCCTAACTCCTAAGGATTCAGTGTTTAAAACAAGGTGGGTATTTATAAAAGCAGTTAATAAAAGAAGTTCTTCCTATATTTTTGTACCACCAGGTACCTTCTCAAACCAGATTTCATGAGGCGACCCGATCGAACATTTGATCCCTTCTCTGAAACTCCTGTTGATGGAGTTATTGCAGCCACTTGCTCAGTGCAGGTAAGATACCTGTAAGGTGATGGCATGTTCTGATCTTTTTAGAATTTAATATGGAAATTACCTTGTAAATTAACCATGGGAGCTCTCAGCTTACTCTTCTTCACAGAGCAGTATTGGTGTTAAGTGTCGTCAAGTCGATTCCGACTCATCGTGTTCCTGTATTAGGTTCCCAAGGAGCAGCTGATGGGTTTGAACTGCTGACCTTGTGATTCAAAGTCCAGTGCTGATCGTGTATAGTTCCACACCAGAAGTATGTTGTTGTTAAATGCTAGATGGGGCTAAAAAATGGTGCTGGCAAATTCTTTAAAAAAATCAGACCTAAGATAATTAATGTTAGATATTACAAGATCCTAGGAGCTCTGGTAGCGTAGTGGTTACGAATCGGGCTGCGAACCTTAAGGTCAGCGGTTCGAAACTACCAGCCGCTCCGTGGGAGAAAGATGAGGCTTTCTACTCCCGTAAAGATTTACACCCTCGGAAACCCTGTACAGGGTCGCTATGGGTCGAAACCGACTCGACGGCACTTAACAACAACAACAACAATTACAAGATCCTAGTGTTGCTCCCAACTTTTATTTAAAATTTTCCCTTTTTTCTTATGAGATATTCTTTTACAATAGTAAAATTATTAACTATTTTGAGTGAAGGAGACACACACAAAAGCATGATGTATTATCCTACTTATTATGTAAATATGGAACTCCAAAAAAGTACAAATTAATGAATATATGGTGATAGAAAAATTAATGAATGTATGGTGTTGGAGGAGAATACTAAAAGTGCCATGGACTGCCAAAAGAACCAATAGATCTGTTTTGGAAGAAGTGCAGCCAGAGTGTTCCTTGGAGGCCAGGATGGCTAAGCTTCGTCTCTCATACTTTGGACATATAGTCAGGAGGGAACAGTCACTGGAAAAGGATGTGATGCTGTGTAAGATGGAGGGTCAGAGAAAAAGAGGAAGACCCCCAATGAGATGGATCAGCCAGGTGGCATCATTGATGGCATTGAGTGTGGCAGCGGTAGTGAGGTTGGCCTAGGATCGGACATTGTTTCGTTCTGCTGTGCATGGGGTTGCTGAGTCGGTTCCGACTCGATGGCACCTGACAACAACAACAACAACAACATGGTGATAGAAAGTGACTGCCCTCTGAACTAGGATAGTGAGAGGGCACAAAGAAATTTTTGGAAGTGATGAAAATATTTATCTTAATTGTGGTGATGGGCTCACATACGTGCTCATAAATTTAAAATGTACAGTATATTATATGTCAGTTATACCTCAACGAAGAGGTTTTACAATTTTGCTATAAAAAAAATTATAAATAAATGGCTGTAGTCATTTGACAACTGAAAGAAGTCTCCCGATAGCTTTATAATAAATATAGTTTAACATTGCTCTTGAGCAGTGTCTTAAAATATATAACACTGTCTTGGCCGTCCAATGTTGAGATGAAGAAAGAATAATAGCCACACTCCAGAATTGCCATTTTTTAATTTCTCTTTACAATCCTTTCAATGTAATTTAGAAATAAATATTGTTGTTAAGTGCCATCTTTTCCATTCCAACTCATAGTGACCTGTATAGGGTTTCCGAGGAGTGACAGGTGCATTTGAACCACTGACCTTGCAGTTAGCAGAGCTTATTTTACAGAGCTACAGAACACTTGAAGGGCACTTGGAGTTCACTTGAACACATCATTTAATTTCAGTGTGGACACTAAAGTATGTAAGACAACAGAGGACACTATTTTATATGTCGCTGTTGTTAAGTGCCATTGAGATGGTTCCGACCCATAGCGACCCTGTATAGGGTTTCCAAGGAGCAGTTGGTGAGCTTGAACTGCTAATCTTGCAGTTCAAACTGACTTTGCAGTCCAACGCATTAAGCCACAGTGTCACACAATGAGTGATAATTACAGAGTTTACCTCTCAGCCCTTTTCTGTGTTGCTGCAGGTTATATCGGGTCAATTCTTATCAGATAAGAAAATTGGCACATATGTAGAAGTGGATATGTATGGGTTGCCCACCGACACTATACGTAAGGAATTCCGAACCCGTATGGTAATGAACAATGGTCTCAATCCAGTTTACAATGAAGAATCATTTGTCTTCCGGAAGGTAAGACCTTTCCAATGTGTCTAACTTGATCTACTAACTTTAGAGTTACAGTTTCGTGCGTGGATACTACACAGTATGGGGACTGAGGTTTTCAACCCGCAATGTCTTCTTTTTCTTCTTTTTTTCTACCCTCTTCTTATGGCTAGCATCTATGGTTGTCATGATTGGGTTTTTGTTTGTTTGTTTGTTTGTTTTGGCCCTTCCCTCCTTTTGATTCTCTCCTACTTCTGAGAGAAGTCCACCTTCTACATTGCAATCCCAGAACTCCAGGTTTTCAGTCTGCTTAGAATGCCTCCCAGCTGGGGGGCACTGTCAAACATTGGGAAGTTCTTTCCTTCTATGGCTGTAACTGGTATCTTATACTGTCTTCTTCAGCTCTCAGGGCAGGTGACATGCTGTATTCGAAATAAGGTCAACCTGTATTATTTCATGGGTCAGTTGGGCTGGTGCTGTACCTCCAGAAAATGTGGCCTTGTTTTTTATTTGGTTTTCTCCCAGTACAGTACAGTGAGAATAATCAAAGTTATCTTTTGCAATATTTAGTTTTTAATCTCATTCTCCCTTTTGTTTCTCTTTTGTCAATTGCACTTTCATCAAAAAATCCATGTGTTGTCAGTGCTGTCTCCAAGAATATCTGCTTGTCTCTCTTGGTTAATCAGTAGTGCTGACCAAAAGGATGATTTGCTTCTTCTTTGCCATTGCTGTGTGCCATCGAATTGGTTCCAACTCATAGAAACCCTGATAGGGCTTCTGAAGAGTGGCTGGTGGGTTTGAACTGCCAACCTTTCAGTTAGTAGTCCAGTGCTTATCCTGCAGTGCCACACCAAGACTCCTGCTTCTTCTCTAGGCACAGGTTTTCCACATGATTATGTTCCACTTGCATGCCATTCAGTTCAGATAGTCAGATCATTTTAACAAAATAGGGCTTATCACTAAGAATAGAGTAACTGGCTTCCAGAAGCCTGACTGTGGGAGACCAATATATATTGGATGACATGGGCCATTTTAAAACGTAAGTTCACCCTGTCATGTGAATATCATTATCCAGGTAACCTTGCAGCGTTGCCTTCTCTATACTACCATGTTATTGTTGTTAAGTGTCATCGAGTCATATGTGCCGTGGAGTCAGTTCCAACTCATAGCGACCCTGCATAGGTAAATTACATAAACAACTATGATTTATATCTTTTTCTTCCCTTGGTTTTCTAATTCATAATAGTTGGATCTGTCTCCAGGATAGCTAGTGTTCTTCAGCATAATGAGTAAATCTTACACACATTTGTAGAAAGTTGGCTGCAGGCATTTCTTGTTTTTAATGAATAAGGAAAAGGACTAGAGTATCAAACTTGTTTTCTATACTATTACTGGTCCCAGAAACAAGATACCAATTCTGAATCTTTTGCTGTTACCTATCATTGCTCTGAGGGACTTTAACTTTGTTTTCTTTCATGTTGTTGTTGTTCTTCGCACGAATCTCATATGAGTGGCAAGGCCCGCTACTACATGGTGAAATATGGAGTAAGTGGATTTGTCTGACTGTTAACTTCATTTTTCCTCTTGATCTGTTTGAAGTTGGAATTAAATCATAGCCTTCATGTGTCAATGAGCAACAAATACATTTTCTAGCTTTAGACTCAATACTCAAATCAGCCACGATAATCTGGTTTGCTTGTTAGCTAGTAAAAAAGCATCCCTAAGTAAAGGACTTTAAGGAACATTACATTTACTCTCTTCATGTTGCTATTTTGTATATTCTGCTCTTTGCCCATTGACTTCATGTTCATTTATTCAGTTGGAGTCAGAAGAAACAGATGCCTTGGGCTCAAATTGTGTTGTTTCTAGCTGCCCCATCTTACTGTATTTATATCCCAAAACATGTCCAGAACTAAGGAATTCAAAATTCAAGGGGATTCCAAATTTACATATAGTCTTTTAAATATGAAGCTTCAGAAAATAATTATTATTTCCATGTTCTTAAAAAGCAGGCAGAGCTAGATCCCAGAAGCAATGCAGGTAGTAGACTGATCCCTCAGGTTAGTTGAGGATCTGATTCCCAGGTCCAGCTCTGTCACTGGCCATCTGTGAGATTAGGAAAGTCACTCAGTGTCTCATGAAATGGCTAAGGATGTGAAGAAATGGTAAGACCTGAGCTAGTAATCTTTAACAGCCAACATTTGCATGAGATGATTTCTATTTGCCTTACATTGACTTGGATCCTATAGCTTATAGTATACTTTTGGTGTGGAACTTGATCATGGGTCTATGTTCTCTATAAAGGTATGTTTTAAGAGTACCATGGATATGGTCCTCATGTAATGGTTAAGCACTCAGCTGCTAACCAAAATGTTGGCAATTCAAACACACCCAACAATCCTGAAGAGAATGGCCTGGTGATTTCCTCCCATAAAGATTATAGCTAAGGAAACCCTATGGGAAGTTCTGCTCTGTCACATGGGAATTCTGTAAGTGAGAATTGACTCAGCACCCAACAACAACAACAGTGGTATGATTCAGATCCCTAGACTGTGGCTACACTGGGAACGACATTATTAAAAATCAGCAAATTGTACATCAGAAGATTTTACCAATAAAGTGAAGAGACACCCTATAGTTTGGAAGGAAATTATCAGGAGCCATAGATATAGTTTCTTCCACTATTAACTATTATCACTTCATCCCCTTTAGAATGGTGGTGGTGGTGGTTGTGTGCCATCGAGACGGTTTTGAATCATAATGATCCTGTGTAAGATTTCTGAGTCTGTATATCTCTACAGGAGCAGAAAGCTTCATCTTTTTCTGAAAAATTTCAGGAGCCATATGTATAGCTTCTGCTACTATTAGCATTCCTGAAAATGTTCTTCCAAACTATGGGTTGTCTTTTCTCTTTGTTGTTATTAGACAGAAGGATGAACAACCCAGTCAAAATATGGGCAAAGGACAAACAGTCCATTAAAGAGAATATTCAAGTGGCCAAGAAACACATAAAAAGATGCTCAGTATCAAACGCTATTGTTCAGTGCTGTCAAGTTGTTCTGACTTACAGCGACCCTGTATAGAGTTTCCAAGGAGTGGTTCATGGGTTTGAATGTAGTTACCAGTTCAGTGCTTATCCTACAATGCCACACCAGGGAGATGCAAATCAAAACAACAATGAGTTATCACTTCATCCCCTTTAGAATGGTGGTGGTGGTGGTGGTTGTGTGCTATCAAGATGGGTTTGAGTCATAATGATCCTGTGTAAGATTTCTGAGTATAGTATTACAGGAGCAGAAAGCTTCATCTTTTTCTGGATTCAAACTGCTGACCTTGCAGTTAACATCCCAGCTCATAACCCACTGTGCTACCAGGGCTGCAACCCATTAGAATAGATATTATTGTTTTGAAAAAAGTAAAACACGTATTGGCAAGGTTGTGGAGAAACCAAAACCCTAATCTGTTGCTGGTGGGAATGTAAAATGGTAGAACCACTATGAAAACAATTTGGCTGTTCCTCAATATGTTGAACATAGAACCATTTTGTTGTTGTTACGTGCCATTGAGTCAGTTCCTACTCATAGCTACCCTGTGTAATGTTTCTCAGGCTTTAAATATTTTTAAATCTTTAAATCTTTTTTCTCCATCAGAAATCTCATCTTTCTCCTACCAGTGGCTGGTAGGCTTGAACCATTGACCTTGTGGTTGAAAGTCCAATGCTTATCCTATGGAGCCACCATGTTCCCTAAAGCTACTTTATGATTTGGCAATTCTACTCTTAAGTATATATCCGGGAGACTTGAAAACAGCAACACAAACATCTGAATACACTATTGTTCACTGTAGTTCTATTCTCTTGGAAACAGAAGAACATTTTTATTCACAAAAGCAAAAAAATGGGGAATAATCACAATGTCCATCACCAGATGAATGGAAAAACAAAATATGGTATATGTACACAATAGAGTATTATATTGTTATAAGGAGAAATGACGTTCTGATGTATGACAATATGGATAAAACCTTGAAAATATCACACAAAGCAAAATCAGTCAGTCATGAAAGGATAAGTACTGTATGAACTCACTTACATGAAATAAGCAAATATATAAACACCAAGGATTTGTCATGATTTTCAGAAGTGGAAAGATGGGTAATAAAAAATGAGAGTCTTTATTTAGGGGGCACTGAGTTTATGTTAAAGATGTTAGAATATTTTGGGGAAGGATAAGCAATAATTGTGGTAAAATATGGAAAATGAAACCAATGCCTTTGAGTTGTAAATGTGGAAGTTGTGCAGGTGAAAGTTTGGGTGTGTATATTTTCAATGAAAGCCCTGGTCTTGGTTTGTAGGTCATCCTCCCGGACCTGGCTGTCTTGAGAATAGCAGTGTATGATGACAACAATAAGCTGATTGGCCAGAGAATCCTTCCACTGGATGGCCTCCAAGCAGGCTACAGACACATTTCCCTTCGAAATGAAGGAAATAAACCATTATCGCTGCCAACCATTTTCTGCAATATTGTGCTTAAAACATATGTGCCTGATGGATTTGGAGGTAAGTTAAATATTTGTGTGCAGAAGAAGTATAGATAAACTTCTAAATTAGAATATTATGAAAAAGTAATAATAATAAATTCTGGTCCTGGCAAGTGCTACACACCCCTGTAACCTTGAAAAGATTAAGACTGTTTAGTAACCTTAGATTTCATGGAAGGAAATTGAAAAGCTAGGCTATTTATGTATCTTTTTCCAAAACTAAATAGGCTTTTATTATGTGGAAATTATTTTTTGTATAACTTTTTTATTGTAAAAATATTAATGAGGGGCCTTCAAAACTTTCATAGAAAAATGGAATTAAAAAATAATGGAGTTTATTCCACAAACATTTTGAACTCCCCCTTGTATAACTGAATTTGTCAATTCAGTGTTTTTTGTGTGTATAATTGTTGACACCAGTTACATTAATCATGTTGTACAACCATTACCAGTATTTGTTACCAAATTTTCATCATCATGAACTAAAAGTCAGTACTTCCCAAACAATGACTGCCCTCCCCCCGCACCCCCCTCTGCTTCTACCACTGGTATCTATTAATAAGCTTTAGTCAGTATACATTTGCCTAGTCTAATCATTTAATGTAAGATCATAAATATTTGTTCTTTTTGGATTGACTTACTTCACTCAAGTTAATGTTTTCAAGGTATATGCATGGTGTAGCATGTATCAGGACTACATCTCTATAATGACGAAGTGCTCTTCCATTGAATGTCTGTACCACAAGGCTAACTTAGCTTTATTTTTTTATTTTTAAATCCAGTTAGTCCTGATTGTCCATGGATTATGTGTTTGCAAATCTGCTTACTTGATAGAATTTATATATGACTCCAAAATTCATATTCTCAGCTTGTTTTAGTCCTTCATGGATCTGCACAGATGTGCACAGATGCAGTACAGTTGGTTAAAGGTTGGGCTGCTACCCATAAGGTCAGCGGTTCAAACCCACAAGTTGCTTCCATAAAGATTTATGGAGTATCTGTTCCCATAAAGATTTGCAGTCTCAGAAATACAAAAGAACAGTTCTTCTGTGTCTTCTAGGGTCACTGTGAATTGGAGTCAACTCAGTGGTGATGGGTTTGGGGATAGTTTTGAGGCATGGTTGAACAAGGTAACACTCTGCTCGCTTGTGTTAGCTTACATATTATAGACAAGTGTCATTTCATCGTCTTCCTAGTGTCATTTTAGATTTTGCTGGTAATCTTGTGGTTTAAAATGGCACTAAAGCATAGCATGAATCATTGTCTAATGTTCCTAAGTAGAAAAGTTGTTGTTAAGTGCCATCAAGTTGATTCTGACTCATAGCAACCCTAATTAGGGTTTCCAAGGAGTGGCTGATGAGTTTGAACCGCTGACCTTGCAGTCCAGTGCTTTTGCTATAGCACCACATTAGGACTCCAGTGAATCAAATAAGGTGTCTTTAGACAGAAACACACATAAAATAAGGTTATAGATTAATCAGTTGATAAAAATGTTGTGACCCAAAACTCACAGGGACCTAATTCTTTATTTCCCTAGACTCAGTGGTTAATTTCACTAATTTAGTGTTTGCAGCATGATGGCTTTATATGATAAGCACTGGACTGTGATCAACAATGTTCAAGTTCACCAGCCACTTCTCAGGAGAAAGATGAGGCTTTCTGCTCCCACAAAGATTTACAGCCTCAGAAACCCTATACAGGGTCACTATGAGTTGGAATTGACTCTACGGTGCTTAAAAACAACAATAGCAATTGTTTGTATAGAACATAACTACTACAAATTAAAATCAATGGTACTGTAATATTATACTTATTCATCTGTTAAATTGTCAAACTATGATGGCTTGTATGATGCTGTGATTATGGAAGCAGCGCTACTGGTGTTTCAAATACCAGCAGAATCACCCATGGTGGACAGGTTTCATTGGCGCTTCCAGACTAAGAGCAGATGAAAGAATAGGAGTTCACCTCTGAGGGATTAGCCCTGAAAACCTCATGAATAACAGCAAAATATTACCTGAAACAGTACCGGAAGATGAGCCCCTTAGGTTGGAAGGTGCTCAAATACGACAGTGGAAAGGCTGCCTCCTCAAGGACCTTAGTGACATGGGTGGAGCAAAGCTTGTGAAAGTTTCATTTGCTGATGGAGAATGGCTCAAAATCAGGAAAAAACAGCTGCAGATATCATTAATAATCAGAACAAGAAATTGGAAGTGATAAAAATATGAAATATTTTTATCATTTTGAATTGGATAATCATGTGGGTCACTATGACCCCCACTGAGATGGACTGTCACAGTGGGATCAGCAATGAGCTCAAGAGTAACAATGGTTGTGAGATTCGTGTGGAACCGGGCAGTGTTTCATCCTGTTGTGTGCAGATTCACTATAGGTCGGAACCGACTCAATGGTACCTAACAACACATTCCAACATTTTGCTGAAATGACAAACTCAAGAATAATGATGTCATGTTCATCATCAAAAAGACCATTTCAGGATCTATCTTAAAATACTATGCTGTCTGTGATAGAATAGTATCAACATTCCTACAAGAAAGACCAGTTAATACCACTGTTATTCAAATGAATACACCAACCACCAGAGCCAATGATGAAGAAATTGAAGAATTCTACCACCTTCCTCAGTTTGAAATTGATTAAACATGTAATCAAGGTACATTGATAGTTATTGGGGATTGGAATTCGAAAGTTGGGAACAAAGAAGAAGGATCAGTAGTTGGAAAATATGGCCACAGTGATGAAATACACAGGAATCGAACTAACTACATCTATGGGAAGAGAAAGTGGAGAAGCTCAATATCATCTTTCAAAACAAGTCCAGCAGCCATCTGTAGAATAGGTCCTCAATTGATCACATGTAAGTTCAGGTTGAAACTGAAGAAAGTTAAAACAAGTCCACAGGAGCCAAAATGTGACCTTGAGTATATCCCACCTGAATTTAGAGACTATTTCAAAAACAGATCTGATGTATTCAACATTAATGCCCAAGAACCAGAAGAATTGAGGAATTACATCAATAACATCACACATGAAAAAAGCAAAAGGCAGGTCATTGAAAAGGGAGGAAGGAAAGAAAAGACCAAAGTGGATGTCTAAGAAGACTCTGAAACTGGCTTTTGAATATGGATTGGATAACACAAATGGAATTACTGATGAAATTGAAGAGCTGAACAAAAAATTTCAAAGTGTAGCTCAAGAAGACAAAGTAAAGTATTATAATGAAATGTGCAAAAACATGAAGTTAGAAAACCAAAGGGGAGGAACATATTTAGCATTTCTCAAACTGAAGAAAATGTTCAAGCCTCGACTTGTAGTACTGAAGGATTCTGTGGGCAAAATATTGAATGACTCAGAAAGTATAAAAAAAAAAATTGGAGGATGACCCAACAAAGTCACTGTACCAAAAAGAATTGTTTGATGTCCAGCCATTTCACTGGGTAGCATATGATCAAGAACCAATGGTACTAAAGGAAGAAATTCAAGCGTCACTGAATTTATTAGTGGAAAACAGGTCTCTCTAGTAATTGACAGAATACCGACTGAAGTGTTACAACAAGCTGATACAGTGCTGGAAGCACTCACTAATCTATGTCAAGATATTTAGAAGACAACTACCCGACCAACCTACTGGAAGAGATCCATATTTGTGCCCATTCCCAAGAAAGGTGACCCTATTGAATACAGAATTATCAAACAATATCACTAATATCACATGCAGCTAAAATTTTGTTGACGATGACTAAAAAAAAAATGACACCATCCAGAACCGACTGAGGTGGGAAATTTCCACAGGAAAGGACGAGTAGTCCAGCCTGGAGTGGCTAGAAAAACAGAAGATACTTCATGAATGAAAGACCAACAGGAAAAATCTGAAACAATAATGACAGTCTGATCAAGAACAAGTAAGCTGTTCGCCCGGGAGCCATCAAATCAAGTGGTCGGGACCCCTCAAAGCAAACCCCCTTCCAAGAGTGAGACACAAGGGTAGCACATGAGCAGGCATATGGTCTGGCTGGTGACCACATTGGTCACCGATAAGGGGAAGAAGGGGAAAAAACAGCAATGAAGTTGCAAGCTAAGCCCGACCACATTCAATAGGCCCCTGTGACCCTGGGTGGAGATCTGTATGGCCAGCAGTATGGCAAGACCCGGGGACTCCTGGGCCCAGAGGCAGTGACATAGCCACAGAGAACTAGAGTGGAGAGTGAAGCATCCAGCTGATATGAAGTGAGGGAGATGCACAAGAACACCCATACTTGCAGATAGTACCCACTTGACCTTGCTTTGATAATTGGATGATCAGAACTTGACTAGAAGAAGAAAGAAGAGGGGGGGAAAAAAAAGAGTAACCTGCTACAATTTGATGAACTTGACCTATGCTTATGGATGTAGTAGCTCAAAAAGGGAACAAATCTTTATAGCGAGGATCACTCCCTCGGTACACAGGGTTGACAGGAATGGGCAACTTAGACATTGGCTACCCAAAATAGGGGGCCCTATAAAGGCAAGAAGTGACTGGCTTACAAGCTTTCAAGAGGGAGCCTAGTTCCAGACAGGCAGGGGAAGGTAGAATTACCACTGAATGATTCCAATCCTTTGGGTCCTGGCTGGCAAAAGGAAATGGGGATAAGACTCTATGGTACAATAGTGAATAATTGCCATTAGGACTGACTGTGAGGATAGGAAATATATAGGTAGATATTTTTTGACAAAAGAAGGAGAGTGATTGATTTTGCAGCCCAGGAGCAGAGGTCCTTGGGACCATCAAGTGAGAAGAGTGGAGAGTGGGACCCTACCTAGAGAGTCAGTGACACCAGGGATAGAGACAGCGATGATGACATGGACAGATGGAGTGGCTGGGGACACTGAACTCAGAGAGGGAGAGGGGCTGTGTGCTGACGGCTGGGGGTGGGGGGTGGGGCAAGCCTGTGTGGTTATTTGATGATGCATGGAGGGTATTGTAACCATTGAAATGAAACTCAATATGATAGGATGAGT